GGGGGGTGGCAGTGGCGGCACCAGCAGGCTGGTTCAACGCTCTGGGGGAGGGCAGGGACCCCCTTCTGCTCCCTCTACGAGGTGCTGCTGCTGCTGCTGCTGCTGTTGCTGCTTTTATGGGTTAGTTGTTTAGGATGTTTTACAAAATCCAGTGTGTTTGGACAAGTTAGGACGGGGGCAGGAGAAACACCCACAGAAAAACGCCTGCCCTCCGATCACCCCCACAAGCTGCTAATGGCAGAAGGCGGGCGGGCGGGCGAATTCTCGAGACAGCCACTCCCAGCTCACATCCCTTACTTTGGGTTTCTTAGAAGGGGAAAAAGATGTATTTCTACAAACTGCCTAAATAAGTAAAAAGGAGACAGAAAGAGCTTCCAGGCGTGTCAACAAGGAGTGCCCTGCACACCGAGAGGCTCTTATACCCATGGGTGCATAACGTTCCTCGTGTTCACAAACACTGGGCAGCACCTGAAAGCAGGCAGAGCAACTAACGTAGAGCCGCCCCCATGTTCAAAAGGACCTGTCAAGCGGCTTCCTGAGGCGTGTGCGCACGTGCGACCATTAGGTCGCCTGCCACCCACAGAAGGATGGCACCTCTGCCCTCGGGTGGCTCCAGAGCTCACTGGCAGCTTCCTGTGCCCTGCCCCAGGAGAGAGAGAGGGGGGACACACACCCCAGAATGGAGAACCAGCCCTCTGTGGGGACCTCACCTGCCAGCCCCTTTCCGGCCCAAAGCAAGGCAGCAGCCCTTTGCTCAGCACAACTCGCCCCTGGCCCCGTCCCCCCCCCGTGTCCCCCACCTCTCCCGGGGTCCTCTGAGCAGGGTTGGGCGTCCAGCAGAGGCCCTCCAGGGCAGACAGAAAGCCTGGGGAATCCAGACTCTCACACGGGGTGAGAGGCTTGCGGGAAAAGTCAGGCCAACCTTGGAGGGTTCCCCAGCCTGCCCTTGAGCAGCTGGTGTCAAATGCACCCCCCCCCCGAGGCTGAAAGAGGGTCTGACCCCGTCAGGCAACAGGCCTCAGCAACCGGCAGAGACCAAGTCCACGGCAAGGAGGCCCCCAGCTTGCACCTCCGCACAAGCCGAGGCCTCTGCCTGTTGCACAACCGCGGCGCAGAGGAATGGCCCAGCGCTCAAGAAACCAAGCCTCTTCCCCCGGGGCTGAGACGGGCGTCTGGCAGCAGCAGGACATGTCCCGTCCCGAGGCATGCCGGTCGGTCGGCTGGTGTTCTGGGAGTATCCGACGGGGCCCCCTCTGTCTGCAACCTCAGGGTTGCCACCCCCTAGCAGGCAACTAACTTCCCAGAGGAAAGAGCCGGACAAGAATTCCTGCCCAGGCTGGATCCAGGAGACGAAAGCTCCCTGGCACAGGGGTGTCCCTACGGCCACCCCACAGCCTGTTTCTCTTAGGGCCGCCCCACAAGCAATCCTGGCATCGCCCTTCACCCCGTCTTCACCCGGTCGGTCTCCGGTTTCCCCCAGAGCTCCTGTGAGGTTCATACCCATCTCCGAGGGGGCTTTGACCGGGCCACCACGATTCCCCAGGAATCCCTCCCTCAGCCGGATCATCTGGGCCTCAGAGGTCCTTGCCAGCCACCTCTCAGCCACCTTTCAGCCAACGGAGGGCTCACGGGGGCTGCAGGCCACGCAACCTCCCACCGCATGAACTGTGTTAGCCTTTAAGGTGCCACAAAACCCTCTCCAGCTCATGCCAGCCATGAACCGCCTCGGGAGAGAAGCGTGTCCGGCCACCGCTGAGGACGCCCGCAAAAGGCAGCTGCTCCCACGGAGCCTAAGACACGGGCCAGAGGCCACCTTCCGCTTAAAACATGCTCTCCCCGTCCCCGCCCCCAAGGCGCACGCGAAGAGAGGAGCCACGGACGCACCCTACCTCATGGCCACGTTGCTTCCATCGATGACGATGGGCCGCAAATTCCCGGCCTCCTTCCCCTCTGCAGGCAGGCTGCCCGAGGGGCCCCGCTTGGCCGTCCCTCCCCGGGGAAGCAGCGGGGCCTCCGAGGTCTCCAGGGGGCCGTCGGCGGGCTCCTTCTCCCCGGCCGCCACGCCGTGCCGGACCAGCTCCCCGAGGATGGTGTTGGTATCGGCCCCGGTGCCGTGCTTCTGGAGGACCGCCAGGATCTCCTTGGGCGAATAGCCCAGCTTACGGAAAAAGTCCACTTTCATCTGCGCCTCCGGGTGGTCCTGCTCCCAAGCGCGCCGAGGCTCCGGCTCGCCCTCCGCGCCTTCCTCGCCCTCCTCGGGGCCCTTCAGGCTGAGGTAGCCGCTCTCGAAGGTGTCGCTGGCACCGGCCTCCTCCTGCTCACTGGGGCACTGGGCGAAGGGCGGTGGCTCCTGCCAGCCTGGAAACCCCCTGGGGGGCACCAACCCCCCTGCAGGGAGGCTGTCCAAGTTCATGGTCTCCTGGGGGCCCGGCGGGCAGCGGTGGCAGCAACCGGGGGGTGCCTCATTCATGCCCAGCCCCTACAAGCAAGAGCAGAGCAGCCCTTTTGAACAGGGCCTGCCAGGGGAGGGGAAAAGGAGGGGGGCCTTCTCCCGAGGAGGACCTGCGCCTCCTGCCCGCCCCCCCTCAAGGAGGAGGCCCTGAACCCAAGGCTTCAGACTCCCGGAGGAAGACCGGAGGGTGGCCTTCCGTGGATCGGGGCCTCGGGAGCGGGCGGGACTAGATGGCCGCGAGGGTCCCTTCCACCTCGAGCCCCCGGGGCCGGCC